TTGGACCAGAATTAGATGGGGTAAAGCCGTGGCGGCGCCAGGTGTTCGGGGCCAAGATGCGCGAGAAAAATGGAAGAAAACGGCGTTTGGTACCGAAAGTGCGACCAGGGGAGGCTCGTTTTGGGCCAGAATTAGATGGGGTAAAGCCGTGGCGGTGCCAGGTGTTCGGGGCCAGGATCTTGGGATCCCCGCGCACCGTGGCGTTGGTTTCTCCCACGGTCACCGCAAGAGCCAAAGAGCCCAAACTGACGGAGTTTGCGCAAAATTCCGCTTGGGTGAAAAGATGTGGCACTCCAAGTTGCACACTACTAGTAACAAGTGCCTTACTCCTAGTAGTAAAAGCTGCCTTACTAGTAGTGACAAAAAGCTATTAAATTAATAGCTTTTTGTTACTACTCGTCAGGCCCTTGTTCCTAGAAGCGATGCACTTGTTCCTCGACATGGAAGTGATAGTCCCACGGTTTGCAATGAAATATGATCTTCGCAGGCAGGTGAAATTCCAAGTCTGCAGCAGTGTACTGCTGATATCTGCTGATAGTCTTTTTGCGGAGTTGAATCCTGTCAGACTTGTCGGTTCCTCAATCAAAGAACATGGAGGCCTCCCAGGCCGTGGATCTCCAGCAAATGGCTATGGTATCATTCAGATGATTTTGGAAGGATGTCTTTCTTTTCAAGACAAACAACGCGTCGAACGAAACCCGACCACGGCAAATAAAGTCAAAATCGACTGAAACATCCTCACACTCCATACACTATTAAGTTGGAGGCTATTGCTTCTAGGGTGGAAGTTCTCATTTGAACATTTGCTACTCCACCAAGCTCTGCAGCAGTGGCAGGGGTCGGCGGCAGGGCGGCAGCCCTTAAATCCGGGCGCCGGCCACGGGCCCGTGTCCTTGCCGGAGGCCTTCGGTGGTAACCGAAGGTTATAGACGGGCGCGCCGGCTGCCGCCGACCCTCGGGACCAAAACGGGCGGACCCCCTGGTCACTTCCTGTTCACTGAAGTCGCTGTAATTTACAGTGTATCGTGTGTGTGTGAGGTATAAAAAACACTGTGTTTTACAGGGATTTGGGCCCCTCGGCGGCAGAGAATTTCAGCTAGGCGATGTCATTAAACGTCGGTTTTTCCATGGTTTTTGCTTTGCGGGAAGGAAAAATCGGAAAAAGTTGTGTCGCAAGACTTTTTCCACATAAATTGCCTAACATATCCCCAACATAGGCCCAAGATAGCCAACATATCCCCAACATATGCCCAACAATGCCTCCAAGATGTCTCAACATAGGGCCAACATAGGCCAACATAGGCCCTCAACATGGGCCCAAGATGTGCCCAACATACACCACATGGGCCCCACTTGGCCCAACCTAGGGCCAAGATGCGCACCGGATAGCTTAACTTTGCTCAATATAGGCCCCACCAAGGCCAACATAGGCGTGACATACGCCCCACAGACCCAAGTGGGCCGGCGCCCGGCTGTTAGGCGTAAGCCTTGAAATTAAAACATTCCCTGTTACCCGTTCCCAATTCCCTTTACCCACAGCCCCAAATCAAAACAGTCTTCCGATTCCCTTTCATTCAGGTTGACTTTCGCCACAGTCATACCCCTAGCTGACCATTAGTCACTTAGTCACTGGCCGGTTTCATATGCGTCACTGAAGCTACGACTACAGCCGAGGCGCGATGAGCTCTTAAACTTCGACATCCCGTCATACAAGGACCTGGGCACGCTCAATCCAAACGGTTCAATCGGGAGTACCAGCGCAATTCGTTACACGACAGTGTCGCTGCTGGCAGTTGAAAGAGTTTTCTGTGGCAAGCTCTGGCATCATATCCATGATTCCATGGTCAAAATTGATCCAACGCATCTCAAAGGGCAGCGCTGCATCTGACACTCAGGCAGCGTCTCATCACGCCCCCTTAGTCAAAACAGCTGGGCCAAGAAAGACGGGTGAAACTAGCAGGACCTGTGAAACAAATGTTTTCACGACTGTCTCCAGCCTAAACCCACCTTTCACAGTGTTCTGTTTTTTGCCAAGGCAGCCTTGCGGGGGGTCCGCATGGGTTTCACCAGGCTCTCCGCTAAGTAGTCAGGTCTTTATATGGGTCTCTAGCGCTGGGATGTTACTATTTGCATCTATTTGCGGTTGCCACTGCTAAGGGCGCACGCCCTTCATCAACAGTCTGCTCATCATCTTGCGCTACTATGTCAATGTCAGACCCTTCACGACGCCTTCGCAGCACATGTCCAACTCAGTTTGATGACGACGGTTCCAGTCCTTCCTGTTTCAACCACTGGTGGGGTGCAAGGACTTGGCACTTCTTGGTTGACCTAAACCCGGAGGGCTCAAAAATGTAACTTACAATTTTGGGTGGGTCAAAAGGTCAAAAGGCAGGTTTCAGAAAACATGAATTTTTCACCAGATAGCGAAGCTATGGCGTTCTTACTTCAAATAACAATGAGCTGCCTGCGCGCGCTTTCAAGACAGGTTTCCAGTGCTGGTGCTGCTGCTGTGAGCCGGCTGCGCACGTGGTGGAGACAGGTTGCCGGCCCTGGGCGCCGGGCGCCGGCGCCGGTGCTGGGCGCTGGCTGCGCGCGTGGTGGAGACAGGGCGGCGCTGGTGCTGGTGTTGTGAGCTGGCTGTGCGCTTGGTGAAGACATGGCGGGTGCCTTAGATACCTACCCACGTCGAGACCTTGCAGAATATTTTTTAAGTATTCCTGTATACTTCCAGTTATATATATCTGAAAAATATTCCATGAACTGAGAGTTATTGGAACAGTTTTATGAAAAAAATCCAGAACAAAACAATTCTAGTTTTTGTAAATAAGTATTCCAAATATGCATCCACCCTCCTTCTCACAAACGGCAAAATGAGAAGAGCACTCTGACAGATCTGCGTCTTTTTATATATAAATATTCTGGGTATAGTTCCACCCTTCTTCTCAGGATTGCCCTTCTTCTCACTCTTTTCATCACTCCTCCAACATGTTCTCTATAAAAAAAGAATTCTGGTATTTGTCTCCAGTATCAGTATTCCATACCTCCAGCCATAAATATTCCTATAAAAAGATTGAAAAATATTCTGTGAACTCACGGTATAGCCTGGAATATTTAACCAAGGTACCCCCCATGTGAAGACAGGGTGCTGGTGCCGGTGCTGGGTGGCTGGCTGCGCGCGTGGTGGAGACAGGGTGACGGTGCCGGTGCTGGTGTTGTAAGCTGTGCACGTGGTGGAGGCCCGGCGCCGGCGCTGGTGCTGCGAGCTGGCTGCGCACGTGGTGGAGACAGGGTGCCGGTGCCGGTGCTGGGCGCTGGCTGCGCGCGCGAAGGAGACTGTGAGCTGGCTGCGCGCGTGGTGGAGACAGGGTGCCGGCGCTGGCTGTGCGCGTGGTGGAGACAGGGTGCCGGTGCGGGGTGCTGGTGTCGGGCGCTGGTTGCCGGCGCCGGGCTGGTGCTGGGCGCTGTGAGCTGGCAGCGCGCGTGGTGGACACAAGCTGCCGGCACTGGGTGCCGGTGCAGGATGCTGGCTGCGCGCGTGGTGGAGGCCCACATACTTTTGCGCGCATAAACTTAAAGATCATACGGTGTTATCGCTTTACAGACCGTAGCTTCAATCATGTCAATGGATACTGCTTGGCCTTGGGCCAGTGACACTTGCGGGCTTTGCTGTTTGCGCGCATAAACTTATACGCGCAAGATCATACGTTGTTATTCCCCAGATAGCCATAGCTACGGTGTCCTTACTTCAATTCAGAATGGGCTGGCTGCGCACGCTTTCGAGAGGATGTCGGCTGGTGCTGGTGTTGTGGTCCTGGGCGTTGGTGCTGGTGCTGTGAGCTGGCTCAACACGCGTTTGAGACGGGCGGCGGCGCTGGTCGGGCGCTGGTACCGCTGCCGGCGTTGTCAGCTGGCAGTGCACACTGTCGAGACAGAGTACCGGCGCTGGTGTCAGCTGGTCGCGCGCGCTGCATGTACATTGTACAGCCTTGTTCCAGCCACCAGCCGCATGTCATGCGATTCTGCCCAGCTATATGGGTCATTATGGGTCTATGCTGGTGTAATTGAAAATAGAGGGTATAAGTCACCTCATCTGACAAGACAGGGGTCAAAAATGTAAGTTACATTTTTAGAGCATCCAACCTCAGGTGTTTTTGTTGAGTGAAGAAAATGCAAGCACTTGAATGCATTGATTCCTGACCCTCAACATTGAAAGCTACAATTTCCAACCTGTGACGAGGGGAACCAAAAAGTAACTATATATAACAAGTTCCAACCACCCCTTTGGGACTATCTTCAGAAAATCAAAAATGGTAAGCCACAAATTTGACCCACGAGCGGGGGTAGGTCCCCCAAGCAGCTGTAAGGAAAAAACGTTGAAAGACTATGTTTGCGCGCTGTTTGAGGGGCGTGTGTTGTCGAGTGGTGGTGCCCCTTTTGATCGCTTTGCAACGGCGTAGGGAAAGAACAAAAAGGCACCAGCAGCGGAGTGCTATCTTCTGAGGTCTAGCTAGGTCCCCCGAAGTAGCCGGAAAAACAACACGTTGAAAGACTATGTTTGTTCTCTGTTTGAGCGGCATGTGTGGTCCAGTGGCGGTGCCTCTTTTGATCGTTTTGTCACGGCTTTGGCAAGACAAAACAAGGGCGCCAGCAAAGGAGCGCCACCTTCTGGGGCAGCTAGGTCTTTAAGCAGCTTGCTGACTAGCGTGACTAGCTGGATCTCAGAAGGTAGCGCTCCTTTGCTGGTGACCTTGTCTTCCCAAAGCCATGACAAAACGATCACAAGGGCCCTTTAATCAGACCGCAAACATAGTCTTTCAACCTTTTCTCTTTACAGCTACTTGGGGAGACCTACGTAGCTAGATCTCAGAAAATAGCACTGCTTTGCTGGTGCATGCTGGTGCCCTTTGTTCTGCCCCAAAGGCGTGACAAAACGATCAAAAGGGGCACCCCGCGGAGCAGTTGAGGTCTTTATAGCGGTAACACGCCCGCTTGCAGGTTGCTGTCTTTGCAGCTGACCCCGTCCATGTTTGCTGGGGTCCCGCTCGACAGGCTTGTGCGTCGCCGGGGGTTTCTGGGGTGAATCTGTGGTGGGCTTCTGGTCCTGATGGCTGCTAAAGGTGGGTGACCAAGTGCAGCCACATCCCTTTGATTTGGCTTAATTCAGTTGGGATGCATTATGCGTCGGCGGGCTGCTTTGCGCCTGCACGAGCGAGGCCGCAGGATCTCCCCTGTTGGTGCCTCGGTCTGGAAATGCATGGCAACAAAGGATTTCCAAATGTATCCTATCATTAGGTAAACTTTACAATGTGTGTGTGTGTGCGCGCTGTTGAGGTCGTTTCTGCTGAGCGGGCGTGAGCAAGCAAGCTGGGAGTACAGGTAAGGCGCGAAGAACATGGTTTTGCTTGATACATCCACCCGCTTGCGCATCGCCAGCAAGTCTATCTCATTGCGAGGCCATGGAAGAAATCTCACAGCAACTTCACCTGCAATTCATGGAGCAGGAACACAATGTCCAGTTAGTTGGTTCTATTTGGTTGAGTTAGGAGTGCCACAAGCTTTTCTGGATACTCGGAGTGCCCATGTCTGGTGAAATACCCACATTTAACATTTACAGCACACCAATTCACTTGAGAGAGGAGGGGGTGAACGAAAGGTAGCAGGCAATCACAAGCAACCCTGGTAGAAGTCCATGATGGCGTCAGAGGTGGATGGATATGACCCAAACAGCGACGGCGCAGCGGGGGAATGATCCAGCGGGGGGGGGGCCCCCTTGTCGAACAGAATCCCTTCTTACAGGACCAAACTCTAGGCAAAGCACCAAGTCCTGATCGCAATACACTTTTGCTAAAGCAAGGAGAACTCAGGTAGCCTGAGGCCACCTTTCGTGATTTTCTCTTGACTTATGCAGGTCCAACCCTTGAAGTCAGCCGAAACTTGCTCCAATATATCCTAAATCTTCAATCCAAGTGGCTCCTCTGCGCAGAAGAACCAATCACGCCAACCTGTGAATCAGGCAAGCAGCAATTTCAGGACTGACAACCCTTGTAGATTTTGAGAGCCCCCTCGCCAAACAACAGTCGTCTCATGCCCCCTCTAAAGAAATTGAAAGGCTCACTTCCTGCTGGCAACCCCAAACAATGGGTTGAAAGGAACATTGAGCTTGTTGGAGTCTTGACACGCACTGGTATGCAAGTCCACCGGTAAGAAGAAATAGATACTGTACTTGCCACCACTCGCATGGATTCACTCTAAGCTAGACCTGCATGGGGCAAAATATTGGCACTGATTGATTGTTTTCAGAAAAACACAATATATTATAGGGGTATACCTCTACCCCCCTCTCATTACCAAGAGACATGCACGCAAAAGCCATCAAAACTTGAAAAACTACTTTAAACATGATGCTACATATTTAATACTACATAATACCTCGAGATGTTCATTGCATTTTTGCTGCCCTGCCCCTCGGCAGGTGCATTCCCACAGCGAATTCATGCCCCCCTAATGGGATTGGACTTCACAACACGCTATTTTGCACTGACACCAAAACCATCACCTACACACCATTCTCGGTGAAGTCATCGGCTTCATTCATATCACTGCAATGCATTTAAGTTGCAAATGCGACCTCAGCTTGAAGAGCAAAGTTCTCCTCTGGAATCATGTACCAACCAACCAGCATATTCTGATACCTAAGCTGCGAATCTGTGCTGAGAAACCTCACGCTCTTGAAGACACGTTGCGAACCTCCAGCCACTGCTATTCAAGCAAATCTTGTCAGGCTGCGCCCGGTACTTTTCGTCAATTTCCTTTCGATTAAAACTCTCCCAGGTCTGCGATGATGTGTAGGCATACTTCGTCGCAATGGGCAAGTTCCTGCGGATACCAAAGTGGCGAAGGCAAGTCTCAAGAGACCTTTAGGAAACCCTCCCAAATCGCATTAGGTTGCAATTGAGACTCCGCATGAACAAGCAAAATATTGCGAACTTCTTCTCGATGAGCATCACATTTGGAGGAGAAAATAAATTTGCGACAATGGCCATGAAAAGACAGGACCAAATTATCATCTGGGGAATGGCAGCGCGGCCTTTGCAGGCATTCTATTCACGCCACAAAAAAAAAACGTTCAGTGACTAATTGCGCGTTCGGGAGATGGACTCCAGTTGTTCGTTTCCTAATTACACCGCGTGTTCACAACAAACAATCCTGCACTCCAGCTGCCAAAGAGCTAAACGGCCAAAAGGAACGATTCTCAAGGCCAACTTTCCCGCCATAAAGCAGGATCAGAAACGGGACCGACAGCGGGCCAAAAACCGTAAACATCATCTGTCCAATCAGTTCCTCAGATGCTGATGCTCCAAACGCCAAGGCACGAGTCAGACACATTGCCTCGCACAAATTGCAGAAGTTTGCACTACACATTGTCGGCAAAGGATCTATGAAGAAGATTCGATAGTGGAAGACCTCCGACACTTCTGTCACCCAGTGCTCTAAGTCCAGGTGAAATCGGCTGGCATGACTCTCTGGAGCTTCATCAGTTCCTGGAACCTGCCAGAGGTGGTGCGTGTTCAATACTTTCTAAACATGTGGTTCCTGGATGCTTGGAGCCTTGCAGCAGGCACGCAGTCCGAATGCGAAGGTCACCGGTGAATGCAAAGCGGGAGTTGCGACCGTTTCAATAACGCGAACCTCAAAGGGAATCTTCGTGTGCTGGCCTGCTGGGCATCCGATTTGTAGGCTGGCTCACTTCCAGGTAGGCCTGTGCAACTGGGCGACACTTGAAATGCTAGTGTACGTGCATACAAATACATTCAATACACCGGGTAAAAATATCTCGGAACTTGAGGCACAATTCACACACATTTAACGTGGCAGTTGGCAGGTCAACATTCTTGGGGAATACCAGGAATCCAGCAGCGACTGGAAAGAAAACAAACATAGCATTGCAGCAGGGAGTAGATGGGTTCAAGGAAATTCAAATTAATGAAAAAAACGGAGACGCAAAGCAAGCAAACATAGACATGCAGGAAGTCACAGAAAGGCAAAGTAAAACGCGTCCTGCGATTCCATGTTTATTTCACGTGGCCACCCTTGCCGGAGAGAAGGAACACACTTTTCTATTACGTTTTTTGTTACGCTCACCGCGTGGCAAACCAACATGGAACCCTTGGATGTAGATGAGGAAACTTCCAAACATAGCACCGCGCAAGTCCAACACATTCTCTCCCACCATCCAACGCTGTCCGGTTCCAAGTCCCACACAACTCTCTTCCACCATCCACCGCTCTCAGGTTCCATGTTTAATGCACTATGAACCTCTTATTGAAGTTGTAGAAGATTAGCCTCCCTTACAGCAAAGAAACGTGGAACCTGTTGACTCCGGCCACTCCTGGCATTCTTTTCCGGCGCGCCGTTTCAATCCCAAACGCTAGGACTGCGACTGCTGACTGTTTTGCCCTCACCACACCACGTGATCAGCAACAGAATGGAAAAGGAACGCAAGCCGTTACTGTTGCACCGTTAAACATAGCACTCACCATTTTGACGCCTGGCTGAACTTGGTGGCAACTTTTGGCAAAACGCTACTGGCCCCCAGTGGGAGAGATGGCCTTCGTCAAACCAACGCTGGCATTCTATGTTTCCGTAATGTGGAGATGGAACTGGGATGCCATAAATAAACCACAGGCCAACCATCAGTTGCACACTAAATGGAGTGCAAATGAAACATGGAACACCATGCATTTTTTGCAGATGCATTTGTCTTCCAAGCCTTCTCCCACTTTTCATGATTGGTCTTTGCATGCCGATGCCACATTTGCTTCAATCCCAAGCACAGCTGTACGGGTAAAGTGCCCTCATCAAACCACCAGTTCACAATTACAATAGGAAAGGCACCTCATTTCCCTCATTGGTATTCAAAACAGAATTCAGAGCATACATAAGCGTTGAAACCTGATTGGAACTGGTGTCAACCTTTGGCAACAACTAATCTACTGGCCCCCAGTCGGAGAAGCATCCTTCATCATCATCCCTGAACTTTTATGTTTACATATCAACCATCGCATGAACACTTGAAACAAACATGGGGCACCACTTGCTTAAAAGGATGTCTTCTCCAAAGCCTTCTCCAACTTTTGGAGATGCAATCGGTCTTCCGGCCGTTTGCTTTCTGAAACGTACCATTGCAACATCAAAGGGCTCGGATTTAATTTAGCTGGTTTTTGCTGTTGTTTGTTTTTCGTGTTTCGTGGCAGGTGCAGTACTTTGTGGACCTTGTAATGCACATTTCGTGGCAGGTGCAGGACTTTGTGGATGTTGAAGTGCAGATTTCGTGGCA